ATCTTGCTTCAAATTTGGCTCAAAATTGTGGTAGTGATCTTATTCTGGCCTGGCAGGACTAATACCTCCCCTTGTACAGGGCTAAGACTTCTTTGAGGATCATCACAGTTTGGCATACAGTGCACAAATAATATTTCATTTTTATTTAAAACTGTAAAAAATATTTCCACATTTCTATTTTTATTTCTCACTATTTATAAAATTTATAAAATCATCTGCCTTGCCACAAACAAATTTTCTCTTGATTTTTCTAGGTAATACAATTTCTATTATTTGAAGCTACTCAGGTTTTTCCCAAGCCAGATGTTGTAAGGGGCCCCCCGAGGGGAGTCCCCACTCTCACCTGGAGTTGTGCGCATCCAAGGAAACACGGAGACCAGCTTGATGCAAAATAGCAAAAGGTAGTTTACTGGCGAGGGGCCCTCGGGTCGAAATGCATCCCATGCAAGGGAAGGATTTCGACCCCCGACCTCCGACAGTTTGAGATTTTTATAGGGAGTGGCACAGGGGGAAAGGGGAGAGCGGGGAAACTTTGGCGCGGTTACATTTGATTGGGCATTTTAAACATCAGCAATAGGTGTAAGTTATCATTTTGGCGGGCATAGCAAGCTTTTCTTGGTGGTCATGATGACTCAGTATTTTTGGCCAATAAACCTCAGACCTCCCGATAGGTGAAGAAAAACACCAGATGGCCCATTTTTCAGTTGGGCATGTTTAGACTTCTCAAGGCCTGTCCTTGGTTGTTCCTACATTCATGGTCACCCTGCCCTAGGAGGAACTTGTTATTTTTGTTTTGGCTATTTTCAGCAAATTGTTGGTGGTCTGGTGGGTTCTGCTGAGGCATTTTAATTTTTTGCCCCCACAATGTGATGGCTCAAATCTGCAATTCCAGCCCTCAGGAGGCTGAGGTAGGAGGATTCCAAAGCTTGGGGCCAGCCTGAGATACAGAATGAAACCCTATCTCAAGACACACACACACACACACACACACACACACACACACACACACGAGGGGGGATGTCATTTTCATTCCTTTTAGCCTGCACCTTGATACTCCAGAAGTGTCACTTAAATTGATCTGAAAACAAGAAAGGTGGAAATAAATCAGAACTGAGCTGCGTATGAAGAACTCAGGTGGTAGAACAGTTGCCCAGAGTACGTGAAGCACCAAGGTTAAATCCCAGCCCTGTACAAACTGCCTTTGGTACTTCAGATCTGTAATCCCAGTACTCAGCAGATACAGAAGGGTCAGAAGTTCAAGGTCAACCTTAGTGATAC